CCTTGAGGTAGAACAAATCTTGTCTATTCCTTGTAACTAAAGAGGTTTGGTTAAAAGAGCACTAGTTTAAGGAGTCCCGATGTGTCTGAATCCCTGTTCTAACACTATTCTAACTCTGTGATCTGGGGGATGTTACTTAACCTACACTGGGGTACCAAGTTACTCATGAGGCTACCAAGACTGAACTCATGGCAGGGAAGTTTATTTTCTAGAACACTTTTTCAGTGTTTGTTGAATCTTTACCTTTTCTTGACTCATTTTTGTAATTAATCAGCTTGAAACTGTAAGAAAAAGTCCTGTATTGTGCTTAGGTTTCGAGAGTGCCAGAAACACACCTATTTAAATTTGCTGGCGATTTCTGTACAGAGAAGAGAGAAAGGTATTATGGCCATTGCAAAAAGTGGAAATGATCTTGTCTTTTTTTAAAATTTATTTTATTTTATTTTATTTTTTAGATTTTTCTTTTGCTAAAGAGCGTGTATGCTTGCTGGAGAAACAGAGAGAGACAGAGAAACAGAAAGCAAGAAATCACTCCCCAGACAGATGTCCATACTGCAATCCCTTCTCCTCCATCCTCCTCTTGGGATTTTAGGCATGTATGCACACGTTCTCGACATGTTTAAAGCTGCTGGGCTTGGGACTTGAACTGTGATCGACTACGTGGGAATCCAGTGATGTAACCATTACACCATTTTCTGGTTGTGGTCTTGTCTTTTTATAGTTTGGAAGAGCAAAATAGCAAATATTAGATAGTCTGAGGGGGGTTTAAGTTCTAATCTATCCAAAATGATTAACTCCAAATACTATTAATAAATTATCTTTAAATTCATCTGCCATCATATACAATGTCCATAATTATCTAAAAGCAGGATTCTAACTATTGACAACCATATACTTTTGTTTGAGAGGATTATAAAATTATCTCTTTATTCTGAATGGTAAGAAAACATAACAGAGAATATTATGCTGATGATAACAAAGTCTTATTTGGGACCTACATTTAATTTGGGGCTTATTAGCAAATAGGGTCTTTGTTTATTTCTCTAAGTCACAAATAATCTGTATTCTTCAGTTTCTTATTGACAAAAGGGAAGAGCTATTCAACACAAGGTCAAATCAAATGACCTCTTTCCTGGAAGACCCAAAGTGAGAATGCACAAGGCACAAGAGACAGAAGAACATCCCTGCTGAAAATGATGGCTAGATTATCTACCAAATACTTACAGACTATTTACAGAGGTTTCCATCAGCATTTATTCAACAAGGATTTATTCTGAGCATGCACTTTGTATTCTCATTATAAATACATATGTTTTATCGCCTAGCAGCTGCGTCCCTGAGTTGTAGCACAGCTCTGTGTCCTCGGGTGACTGCAGGGAAAGCAGGCTTTTCCACTCAGTAAAAGCCTTGTCTTGTCTAACATATCAATGAACAAACGAGAGAACTTTTAGTTCCAAGTGATTCACTTACTGCTCTTTAATCATTCTCTTTCTTATTTATTCATGATAGAGAACATGTATGCATGAGAGGGACAGGAAGAGGGATAGGAGAGAGAAGAGCACCCTCCACAGGGCATGGTTATACTGCCATCATTATCTTCCATCCCCATCTACATCCTGTCAGAATCCTGGGCATGTATGTGCATGAGCCCAGCATATTTTCAGGTCTACTGGCCTGGGGACTCAAACTGCAATTGGTACATGGCTTCTGTCTTCATAAGGCAGCGCATCACAGAGGCTGAAGTCATTCTTTTTTTTTTTTGGAGAGATTTTTGCTGTAGAATATGTGTGCTCCCAAGAGAGACAGAAAGAAAGAGTGAGAAATTACCCTCCAAGGAGGATGGCCATACTGCAATCCCTTCTCTCCATTTTCCTCTTGGGATTGTGGGCATGTACGCACACATGGCCAGTGTGAGTTTTAAGCCACTGGATCCAGGACTTGAACAGCAGTTGCCTATGTGGGAGTCCAGCGACATAACCTTTATGCCATCTCCTGGTCCCAAAGCCATTCTTTGTTTAAGGTCAGTCTGATTTTACATTACTCTTTTCCAGAGAAAACATTTAAATTATTGTACTTTAAAAAAGGCACTGGGGGACCAGCAGTTAGCGAATGGCTATGTCGCTGGACTCCCATGTAGCCGACTGTGGTTCGAGTCCTGGACCTGGCGGCTTCAACTCATGCCGGGCGTGTGTACGTGTGTGCCCAAGATCCGGAGAGGAGAATGGAGAAGGGATTGCGGTGTGGCCATCCCCCCTGGGGGGTGATTTCTTGCTTTCTGTCTCTCTGTCTCTCTCCGTCTAGCGAGTGCATGCACCCTATAGCAAAAATCTCTTAAAAAAAAAAAAGTAAAAAAAAAGGCACTGGACAGTTGGTTAATCTTTCAAAGTCGTTTTTCCTAAGCTACAAAATAAAAGCATTTGCGTTGGATAATTTTTTTAAAGCCCCCCACCTGAACCCTATTTTTAAACAAATTTGCCAGAGAGAGTGTGCACTCACAGGAAACAGAGGGAGAGAGAGGGAAAGTGAGAAAGCGCCCTTTATGGAAGATGGCCACTCCACAAGCCTTTTCCTTCATCTCTCCCTCTTTTCAGGATTTTGGGTATATATGCACAAACACCCACATGTTTTGAAGCTTCTAGATCCTGGACTCCAACTTTGCAACTGGCATGTGGGATGTAGCTGTCCAAACCTCCATGCTATAGAATAGTTAAAAAGTCCTTTTCTAATAGCAGATTTCTGTAACTCAGTTGCAAGTATGAATTTCAATCGATGTTGGCAATATATTATTAAAACTACTAATCAACAATTATACTCAAGTCAAAGTTTTTTAGCATATCCAATATTATTACTACTACCAGGTGACTTAGATTGAGTCTCACTTGAATTAACTCTCTCAAGAGCCCTATGGAGATAAGCATCTGTCACTATCTCCATTGTACAAATGAGGAGATTGATCATAAAAGTGTATATACTATATTCACAGAATCATATTGTTCTCCACAGGGGCTGTACTAATTTGCATTCCCACCAAAGGTGTAGCAAGGGTTCCTTTATTACCACAGCCTCACGAGCACTTGTCTTTTGTTTTATTTATTTATTTTTAAAATAAATCTTAGACATTGTGACTGGGATTAAGTGGTACCTCATTGTGATTTTGATCTGCATTTCCCTTATGGTAAGAGATGTCAAGTATTTTTTCACATGCTTTTTGGCTGTTTGTGATCCTTGGGGAGTTGTTTATTCAGCTCATTGGCCCATTTTAAAATTGGATTGTTTATTTATTTATTTATTTATTTATTTATTTGTGAGTAAGCTGCTTGTGTTCCCTGTATTGAAAAAATGTGGCATATATACATGATGGAATAATAGCCATTAAAAAAAATGAGACACTTATATCAAGTGGTTGAACATGGAAGAGTTAATGCTAAGCAAAGAAAACCAGACTATGAAGGAGAATCATGCATGTCCCCATTCAATATAAACCAAATGACTGCATTCTATGGCAGAGCCTGAGAGGTGGGTATAATAGTAGTAGCAGAACCTGTAGACACCAGGGACAGTAGAGGAGTGGGTGAGTGATTGTGGGTGGAAGAGAGAGGGTGGGGGAAAAACATTCAAAAGACATATGAATGAAAATTTACCTTGATGATAGTGAATATGGTGGGACTGGAAGGTGGCATGGTGGTTAAGGAACTGCACTCCCATATGGCAGACTGCAGTTTGAGTCCGGGGCCTAGTGGCTTGCTTTTTCACTTTCCCTTTCTCTTTCTCTGTGGTCAAATTAAAAAATAATAATGATAAATAAAATTAAATAAAAGAATTCTAAAAAACAATGTATATGGTAATATTATTGACTTGGCTGATATGTCTTACCTCCATGCTGGAAAAAAAGCCTTTTTCACACTATAAAGATGCACATTGATTAAATTTAAAGTGAGTAAATTTAAAAAGTATAAAAGATTAAAAGAAAAAAAAACATGACAGAGATATACTTGAAATCCAACTTACTTTCTTATTAAGGTAAGCATCATAGAAAATAGATCAAAAGAGTATTATTTATCTTTGGAATAAGACAATGGTTTTAAAAAATGAATGGTGAGAGGTACAATTTTGTTCCCCAGGCAACATATGGAAATCTTTGGAGATTTTCTTTTTTTAAAAGGATTATTTTATTTAACTTTATTTATTCATTTACTTATTTTAATTTGGCCAGAAAGGGATATAGTGAGAAAGAAATAGAGAGAGGGAAAGTGAGAAAGCAAGCTGCCAGGTCCGGGACTCAAACCTTAGTTGGCCCTATGGGAGTCCAGTACCCTTTACCACCACGCCACCTGTCAGCCCCTCTGGAGATATTTTTGATGGTAATTACTGGGAGGATAATACAGTGTCTACTGGTTAGAGGCCAAGGAGGCTGCTAAACATCATAGTGTACAGAACCAAACTCCCTGATAAAGAATTACTCAGTCCAGAGCATCAATAGTGTACAGGCTGAGAAACCCTAGGGTAAGGATTTAATACAAATGTCCATATCTTTTGTTTGTTTGTTTCTTAAAGGTTAAAGAACAAAAACTTTCTAATAGGTTAATCTTTCATAGTCTTTATAAATAGCAGACAGAGCTACCCAAAAGGGGTTGTACTTGACAAAAAGGGGAACAACTCTGACTTGAATTTGTTCTTAGCTTTGAAATATGGGCTTCCACACTAGAGCGAGACACCTTTAGCAGAGTGAACTAACTGGTAAATATGACATGTCCCATTGTCAAGCTGTTCAGAAACTCTAACTGCATTGCCTGAAGCCTTTGACAGATGACATTAAGAGCCTTGCATTTTTAATTATGTGTATCAGTTTTATTTGCATATATGTGTACAGGCACACAAGCAATGATAATTTAAATGTAGACATACTTCTTGCTGTGCTGACTTCCAACCTCATGTACAATCTTCAGTCAAAACTCCTTCTCATAAAAGATGAGAGTTTTAGGGGCCGGCAGGTGGCGTGGTGGTTAAGAGCGCTGGATACCCATGTGGCTGACCACGGTTTGAGTCCCGGACCTGGAGGCTTGTTTTCTCACTTTCCCTTTCTCTCTCTCTCTCTGGTAAAAATTTAAAAATGATAATAACAATAAATGGAAATAAATACATATTTTTTAAAAAAGATGAGAGTTTTGATTTAAAAATTTAGAATTATTTTATTTAACTTTATAATTATTTTTTGTTATTTATTTATTTACTTTTAATTTGACCAGAGAAAGACAGAGAGAGACAGAAAGTGAGAAAGAAAGCTGCCTGATCCAAGACTTGAACCGCGGCCAGCCATGTGGAAGTCCAGTGTCTTTAACCACCATGCCACTTGCTGGCCCTAAGATCTGATTTTTTGAAATATATTAAACATTGACCTGGTGCGTTGAAGCTGTTGAATTATGTTGAATTATACAGTAGGTTGAATTATGTGCAGCATACATTCATATAGGACGGTCAAGTTGTCTGTAAAACATGGGTAACACACAGCATTAGGCCGGCCAGCACTAATGCAATACCTTGGCATACTGGACCCACATAGGAGGGTCCCTTATTCGTGTCTGTGATCACGCTGGCTAAGGCTGGGTTAGATCATGGTGTGAGGACCCTGTTGGAGATGTGTCTCTCTCTCGGAGGGAGTGAATAATAAACTTTTGAAATTCAATCAAACAAAATAATATGTGTCACTTATTATGCACTTGCTAGGTGCTATGCTAAGCAATTAGTCTATATCACTGCAGTTAATCCTTACAAGCATGAGAAATAGGTACTGCAACACTTCCACACTTAAAAAAAGAAAGCCACCTTCAAGTGGCTGAGTGACTAATCATTGCTGATCACATTTGCCTGACTCTAATATCTATACCTTCACCTAATATGCAGTACTCGTCCAGCTTAGTAAGTGAGCAAGCCATTTAACATATCCACATTCAGTGTTCTGTTATACATTTAAATGATTGAATCAAAGGGGAGACAGCACATTGTTTTTAGTGTGACTGACTTCCATTAACCTGTCACTCTTTTTAAAAATTATTTTATTTAACTTTAATTATTTATCTACTTAATTTGAGCACAGGGAAAGAACAAGAGTGAGAGAGAGGGAGAAGGAAAGTGAGAAAGCAAGCCACCAGGTCCAGGACTCGAACCATGTTCGATCATGTGGGAGTTCAGCTCTCTTAACCACCATGCCACCTGCTGGCCCCACAAACCTGTCTTTCTTATTTTTCCCAGTTATATCTAGAAGTAGTTTTAGTGTTGCTAAAATATGTTGCTAAAGGTGCTAAAGAAATTGTTATCTAGAGATTCAAATTTAATAATTTTTTAGAAAGATTTTTCCTATAGTGTGCATGTACTTACCCGAGACAGAGAGAAATCACCCTCCAGGGGAGATGGTCATGCTGCAATCCCTTCTCCTCCATTCTCCTCTTGGGATTTTGGGCATGCACACACATGCACCTCCCATGAGTTTTAAGCTGCCAGGTCTGGGACTTGAACTGCAGTCTACTACATGGGAGTCCAGTGATGTAACCATTATGCCATCTACTGGTCCCAAGATTCAAAGCTAATCTACCAGGAAGAAAAGGGTAAAACCCACCACCATTAATACCGAACTATACAGTTATGCGATAGCCACGATAAACCTGTTTTCTGAGAGGTGTTTGCAGAGCCCAGAAGAGCTGTGGACACTGAGTACCTTGGTGTGCTGGCATAGCTGGTTCTGCTTCAATGGAAACCACACCATGAGGGGTTGCTGGAGATTGTCCATGTGCTTTCTCTTCCCTTTCATCCCCTGTTTCTCCCCCTGAGCCTGAGACTTTTGGACTCCTTGAAATCAGTTTCATCCGGAGGGCTTGATTCTCTTTCTCCAGTTTGTTCATCTCTGCCCGCATTTCCTGGATAACTCTCATGAGCTGGATATTAGTTTCCATGGCCTCCTAACATGTCGCTCTTGTTTGCTCCTCTGGCAGAGAGAGGGAAATTTTGCTCATAAGCCAGATGCTCACTCTACTTGTAGGGTGGGTGAGTCCCACCCATCACCCTTCCTGAACAATAGATGTCACTCTTCCCTGAGCCATCTTTCAGTACCTGGGGGTTAGGCTGTCAAGGGAGGTAAAGGATCTGCATGACTTATTCATTCTGGGTTTTGTTTTTCAGAATAGAGCTTTTCTTCCTATCTTTCATTTCATATCACTCCACAGTTCTAGAATATTGCTTTGTGTCTGAGGAGAAGAGGACACTCCAAAAATTTCCAGGAGCAGCAGTTTCCTATTTCAAACTTGAAGTTACCATCACAACACCCATTCAGCCTTTTCACCTCTGGGATTAGATATTTCATAGGGTCACCAGCTGCCACAAAGTACACCAAAACAGATAAGAATTATGCCTTGTCTTTGTAAAAATATGTCACAGTTCTGTACTTTGTGGATAAATTATTAATTTTAACATTTGTTGATTAAGAAAAGGTATCATGAAGGGTCATGTGAGCTGTAGGGATATTATTTTATTATTTTTGAGAGAGATGCTTGCTGTAGGGTATGTGCACTTGCTAAAGAGGCAAAGAGAGACAGAGAGGCAGAAAGCGAGAAATCACCCCAAAGGGAGGATGGCCACAATACAATTCCTTCCCCTCCATTCTCTTGGGATTTGGGGCATGCACGCACACATGCCTGGCATGAATTTTAAGCTGCCAGGTCTGGGACTCGAACCATGGTCGACTATGTGGGAGTTCAGTGACTTAACTATTATACCACCTGCTGACCCCAGGGATAGTATTTAAATATACCGATAATTATAACTAAATCTCTAAAGATAGACCAAGGAAGAATCATATATAACCACTTCTCAGTGGGTTTCTATCTTATAAGCATTTTGCTGTTATTTGGTTTTAGTATGTTTGCATAGGTAAAGGTTGTCCAAGGATATTTTGGGAAATGTAAGAAGATACAGGCTAAACATTAATCTTGAATGAGAAAGGCATGCAACAGTTAGAGCTTTCATTACCTATTTCCTGAAGAGGTTTTTTGTTGAGAATGAAAAGCATAAATCTTACATAGCATATGCTGTGCTGATAGTATCTGTTTGGAAATTCAATTAATGTTTAAACATAAATGGTATTCTGCAAATAGGGTGAAAATGATTAGCAAACTCTCCATGTTGGTAGTTTTTTCTGAATATTTGTTTGCTTTTATTTTCTATGTATGCTGAGGTTTTTTTTTTCCCACCCTAATAAATATTCATTGACTGACTCAAGGCTTCAGATAATAAGGAGTGATTGGAGAAAGCATTATTTCTTTGTTACAAATGCATTGTATATGTTAAATTTTAAGATATGTTTACTAAAAAGTCAGTCTACAAGAATAATGAGGTGCTTTTGCTACACGATTTCTATTTGTATTTCAAAGAATTTCAGTAAACATCTCTGTGCCAGCTACTCTAGAGAAAATACAAGGGGATTGTGGAAATATGGAATATGAAGTAAGATCGGATCATAAATGTCATCCAGTCTAGCCACCAATCAGATGTTCAAATTTTTTCACAATATCTCTGTAATGGCTCATAGAACCTATATTTCAGTACTTTTTAAAAAAAGCATAGAACCTATATTTCAGTACTTTTTTTTAAAAAGAGAGGTAAGCTACTTGTTTTTTAACTAAGATTATTTTACATTGAATAAAAAGTGATCTCTAGGTAGCTTGTCCTTAATTCTTCTCTTTGGAGATGTTATGGAACATGTCTACACTATGATTTTTTTTCCAAGAGATTTTTGCTATCTGGAAAAATGCGCTCACCGGAGAGAAAGAGAGAGAGAGAGAGAGAAATCACCCATTGGTGGGATGGCCACACTGCAATCCCTTCCCTTCTATTCTTCTCACAGGATTTGGGGCATACACGCACATGCTCCAGGTGTGTTTCAAGCTTTTGGATCTAGGACTTAAATCACAGTCAGCCAGGTGGGAGTCCAACAGTCTCTGATGGTCCCAACATGTCTGTCTACTCTATGTTTTAATAAACATTTTTGTTCCAGTGAGTCTTTACTTTTCAGAACAAACATCTCCAATTTCTCTAACTAATTAACAGCTGATGTGGGTTTAAGCCCCTTGACTTCAGCTTGGACCCTCTTTCAAACATTTTTTTTTATTGGCTAATAATGATTGTACGTATCTGTGGAAGTACAGTATGTTTTTTCACTACATGACTACAATGTGTAATGGTACATCAGAGTAATTCCTTTTGTCATTACTTTGTGTTGGGAACCTTTAAAATGATCTTTTTTAGCTATTTTAAGATATATAGTAAGTTGTCGTTAATCATGTTTTCCTTACTGTATTTTGTAACATGACACATTGTTCCTCTTATCTATCTGTAATTTTGATTTGATTAATCAAATCCCTCTATTCCAACTTAATGTCTCCAACTCCCATTCTTCCTAGTCTCTTTATCACTGTACTTTGAAGAGGTCATTTTTTTCAATTTCCACATGGGAGGGATTTCCACGTATTTCTTTCAGGAGCACTCATTAACCTCAAATGGCAGGATTGCATCCCTTACAATGGCTGAATAATATTTCTCTGTGTGTGTGTGTGTGTGTTTGTATCACATTTTCTGTATCCATTCAGCTGTGGATGGAAACCTAGGTTTGTTCCATATCTTAGCTGTTGTGAATAGTATGGCAATAAACATTGGGAAGTTGATGACTTTATAATACACTTATTTCCTCTCCTTTTTAAATATACCCAGTAACAAGATTAATGGACTTGCTGAGTCATATGGCGGTTTTATTTATATATCTACTTTTTGTTGTTTAAAAACATTTATACTGGTTTCTATAATGACTTTTTGAACCAGAATATCCAACTCTAAAGGCATTTTCCTGAAGGCTTCTGACTAGCATTGAATAAACTGCCAGAACTTCTGTAAAATATTTGGCAAGAAATGGACCATAAAGTGGGCAGGAAAGATCATTTCTTAAATTGTACTCAGGGTTCAAACCGTATTTCATTCTTGATGTTGTATTCAGCAGCAATAAAAGACATACAAACAATTTGCATAATCATTGGAGATGATTTAGTTGTTTCTATTTGTAGACAATTTGATATATATATATATATATATATATATATGTATAGATAAAACTTAAAATAAAAACTGGGAAGAAGACAATATTTTTAAGAAGCCTTAATTGAATTTCTAACTCATATGTTTAGCGAAAACCCAATAAAAATCTCAATAGGGCTTTAAAAAAATTAATGAACTCATTCTAAAGGTCATCTGAGATAATTGTTATGAAGCATGTGAAAGTAAAGAGTAATTATTGGGAGACTTCCTTACTAGATTTTTAAATATACTGTAAAACCATCACAATGAAAACAGAAAATGTTGGTGAAATTAAAGGTAGAACAAAGTTATAGACAAGTCCTACAAGAAATACAAACGGCAAAAAATGTAAAAAAAAAAAAAAAAAAATCCCGGGACAACCACTTAGCATA